CTTTAAGGAACAACAGTTAAACGCTTAGAACCCAAAAAAATAGTTACATGTGTATTATTGAAGCAAACAGTATTGAAGTAAGTTCGATCGAGGGGTGTCTACCACTTTCGGCAATGGGCCGCACGCGCGCCTGAGAGCTCCCAATGTTTTTGAATGCGATCCATCGATCCAGTGCGTTTTCAAAATAGTTTCTGGATCGATGTACGCCCAGAAGTTGACTTGTTCCAACAGTTTTGATAGGGCTGAACAATTATCAATGGAACAGTAGGACGTCGACGATCAGTAGGCTCATTACGCACAACAAGACAGATGAAGGCAAATAATCTCATAATCGCGGACCCCCCCCCTTTTTTTACAACTTTTTTATAGACAATTTCTTGAAATTTGCAGATTGTCGCGCTTTGTTTTTTGCGCTCTTACGCACCATTACTTCTATTACTTCACCTAGGCCTGATACCTAAGGGTTATCTGAAACTGAGCCTTTAAGTCATTTTTTTAGAAGCTATAAATGAATAAACCTAACTCAGGTACAGTGACCTTATTCTTTTCAGCACCGCCATGGTAAATTCCTACCCAAAATATTATCTCGCTGCGCAGATCCTGCCAGGATGTATAACAGGAATAGCTCTGGGAGTAGCTGTTTTGATAAATATGAAGGCTGAAGAGTATGTCAATCTAATATCATTTTGCATTCAACAACATTAACCAGCACCACTGAAACTGCAATCTTAGCCGATTTTGCACGAAAACAGCCTATTCGAATTCCAAAACATGATTTTGTTCATATTTTCCTTATAAATTTCAGACAGGTCGTTTGCGATTTGATAACACCTATGCTTGGCACGATGAGCAGTGTGTATAGTAAATCAGTCATGGTAGTAAGCATTCTGATTCTGCTATGCAATGTGTCCTTTATACTCTTCTTAAGGAAACAACGAATAAGTAGGTGTTTTAAAATTTAAGTTTCGTAACAGTGCTATCTCCTACAGTAGCGATTCAGCGCAGTTCTCTCGGTTCACTCTTGATAGCCGATAAATACTGTCATTTCAGGCAGCGAAACGGTGAAGAGCGTCAATCGCTCCGTATTTGTTATTTGTATGACTGTCGTGCTTGGGTATTTCAGCGCAATGGTCATCTTTTCTATGAGGGAAATGCTGAATCTAGACGTTGATTTGCAGAATTGGGGTATACTTGCAGGGTTGTTTGCTAGTTCGGCATATTCTCTCAATTTTTTCGTCTACTACGTTATCAGGTTTGTTTATTAGTGGATATCGAAGACAGATCCTCTCAGTTTCTCGTTCCTTAGGATGCCCCATCGACGTGCTGAGTATGTATGGCTTTGAGTTGGGTAATGATTGTTGCGGGACTTCATTTCTTAGATGGCTCCGCATTTTAAGGAGGCAGCAAACGATACGAAACAGTAACGCTGAGAAAGGGGAGGTTTGCAATCCCTTGATGTAGATCATATAAATACGCAAACCCGAGCGTCACTATGAAAATTCCTACAGTGTGGGATAGGGATAGAATTTTGGAAATGACTCGAGGTGGATTCCGAGGAGACAAGGTGCGTGGTTCTGGAATGATCAGGTCAAGAAGTTGTAAGGAAGAGGAAAGCCGCCTACAAGCAGTGGTAAAGGACACAAGCTGCTGAAGCCTTAGCTTCCTATAGAATTTTCAAGATGCTCGTCAAGGCTGGTGTTGCGAAAGCTAAAGTTACAGAAATGAACCCCTTGTATCAGAAACTCGATAGTCGATAAGCAGATCTTCCTTCTGGCGAAAGCGTACTACCTTGGGGAGGCAATTGGTCCAGCCGCGAATTTCGGAATAGTTCTATGATTTTCTCCACTTCAAACTGAGAGAGAGGGAGGCTTTTTGTTATTCATTACATTAGCGGATTCCTTATACATAGAGTGTGTTGATATCCTTATGATATTTCATCTGTTCGAAGATGAAGGCGTTAGAGACTTCATCTTCAAGTCTTTGTGAGAATTTCGTTGAAATATTATTTTCAGCAGGGAATATCGCGCTGTATTCGACGATCTCCTCGGAATCGGTCACCTCAAAGCTTTGTTCTGTCGCAGTAAGAAAATCGGTGGTCAACAAGTAGCTACCTCGTTAGGTGCACGTCCAAGCAACCGTGTCACGGCCACTAATGCAACTTAATGGTCACACTTCGTTTTTTCTTATTTATGCAATTCAATGGTGAGCGAGTTTTATGGTAGTCGTCTGCTTCAATAAGAGTCAGAATGACTACAGATATTTTTGGCTTTGGTTGAACTATTTTATACATTCCCGAACTCTGGAAAATTCCTTGAAATACTGTCTGTGCTCACGAAAACAATCCACTGAAGCTTGATAAGTTATCCTCAATGGAAGTATCCCCGAGACCATCTGTTCAACACTTCGGACTTGGATAGGAAGCCCTAGGTAGATGGAACAATTGACACTTTTAATACAATTTGATCTCACGATTTCGTCCAAGGGCTACAACTCATGCAGACGTTTGCCATCGACACCTATTACATTGCTTCTAGAAGGAGCTATATTAGAAGGTACCATATCCATATGAGTTGCTCTCTCATCTTGCGCAGCAAAAACTGCATAGTAAAGTGGCCTGCGACCATCTCTCGGAACGTATAACCATTGGAAAGCTTACCAACTTGGGAGAAAAGTTTTGATATCACTGCATACGATTGATATTTTGCGAATGGATATTGAAATGCTCGTTCACGAGCTTTCGAATGGTTGAAAACGTTGATTATCTTGCAGTTGTAATTCACTTGGGGGCTGCTCAGAGTATCACTGAGTTTGTTCTTTTCTTGAACTCTTCACGAGGTTTTTAAATATGCTTTATTAGGCTGACGTTTCGGCGGAATCGCCTTCTTCAGAGCCTGAAAGGATCATAACAATTTGTGACTATCC